AAATATGGAATCCAACCACCTTTAGTTGTTGCAACCAAATGCCTTCAAGAGTTTACGTTAAAATATTTTGGCTTCTCAAACGGTCTATCTGTGGAGTAACGTTCCCTTCAAACCTTTGTGTCTCACTTGAACTTGCCACTTCTTTTATGCATGCTCTGAGGTGTACGTATTAACCGTCGTCTTAACACCTATCAGTGGTGCCTTGTAGGCGGGAGCCAGGGGCTTAATTCAAACGTGGCTTTGGAGGAGCAGCCTTACATTTCGGGTGTGCGCATGGGTTAGACGCTTTCCCTTACTCTACTGCGTCATTGTGCTTACGATGTGAACTGAAACATCTTAAAGGAACTACGTTCCTTCTGCGTGGTCTACTAGTAGGAAAGAGGAAGAGTTGAATGAAAACTCTACAGTATCACGGCATCCTTCGGGTATTCGTTTTATTTGGCTGGACATCGTCGAGTTCCTACGCTTAACTCAACCACTTAAATAAGATTCTTTTGAGATTTGACCACTAACTGTGTTGTATCAAGCCGCACTTTTGCATGGGGGAAGGGACCAGCAACTTAAATGCTGGACTAAATACTTTCGCTTTTCCTTTCATTTACCCACGAGGCGTCCCAATATTAATGTGGAGCGAATCGTACTAATAAAAACGCTTATTTCTTACCGTAAGCAGCGTATATTGGAAAGTGAAGGTGTCTCAGCATTTGAGACTCCCAAAGACAAAAAAAACCTGTATGAGTGAAGTATCGAGATGACAGCATTCATTCAATTGGTCTCTCCACTAACTTCATCAGCCCGTCAGGCCGCATCGCAAAAACCCATCAGAATGATAAACCTAGGCAATACTTTTATTATTGACACAGAGGACAGCGACTCCTTTCTTCTCTCTCATGCTACCACAGGTCCCTCGCAGGTTAATGTAGTCCCCTTTTATGCTATTTTCATTTTCCTCCTTTTTGAGTCTGATAAAATTTTTATTGACAGCCATAGGCTACTGCTTTAATGCATGCAAAGCTTTTAATCAGTACCTTATTCCTCCTTTTTAAAATAAACGTTAAACCAAAAAAAAAACTCTGATGTATCCGGCTGGAGGCAATGTACCCCATTTTACTTGAACTAAAAGATTCTTCAGACTTCATAAAACTGATGCAGAAAGCCACTCAGCCACGTCCATTGTGACAGCCTCACTCCTCCCATTTTCGGCAGCTGCAGCAGGACTTCCTTAAGCCTACCACCAATGAAAGATTTAGACATCTACGCTTTCATTAACTTCTAGATTTATGATAGCAATATTACTAAAAAGTACACATTAATCAAAATATTCCTATTTTTACTTTTGGTTGTACATATTTTGAAAGCCTAAGGACTGTTTCTTGCTTGCTTTAGGGACCAGCAATTCTGACAGCCGCAACTGTTGAGGATTAATGGGTCATGAACAAGTCGGAGGCTATTGGTGCCTTCCTTTACGCTTTACAGGAATTTCCAAGGTAGGAAAGCCTAAGGAAAGCTTTTGCTTTAAAAGCGCTTCAACTTACTAAGGAGTTGTTTGAACATTCCAATCTACAGGACAGTGAATGGACATTTGGTAAGTGAAATCCAAGTGACGTTAATGTTTGTTAAGAAGTGACCGTCAAACTGAGGATGGGGTTGAAGTGACTGTTTTGCAATGGCGCATAACTTTTAATTTTACAGTCTTGCAATTGAGAATTCGAGTGTTTATCACACAAAACCATCAAATCTGGCGTCAAGCTGCTAACTTGGCTCATCGGGCGTGATCCACTTCAATTTGGCAAGCACAGGTAATGAGCAGCGGTAGAAGTGAAGCAGTTGTTTTGCCTCTCCTCTGAAAGGGATTCGTCAACACCATATTAGACGAACTGTTCCATAAATCTCCAACCACAAAATAGGTCGAAGATTAAGTTTTATGGCAATTTCAGTGCTAATTGATCGTCTAGGGAGTTGAATTTGCCCAACATTGCAGGTGCAAGGTGAAAGTAAACTATACTGCAAAGTATCTTGCAGTAATTCTTTGAAGACCAACCCTTTGGACCAAATCGAAATTCAATTCTCCGTCTTGCTGACAAATGATCCTGACCGTTGGGAGAATCTGGACGCACAGTTGTTGGCACTCAGTACCTTCTCTGTTGACTGTGATGGAGAGCAAAGCGAAAACGTTGAACCACTGTTTTCGTGGAGTTGTTCAAAGGCAGCCTCAATTTGCAATCAAACATGTGCACTTTTGGCAAACAAACCGGGTAACTCTCCCAGTACTTTGAATTGATCGAATTTATTAAAATAATAGTAAATGCAAGTTCCATTGATAAACCAGTGGGGAGGGTAAGAAAACCTGATGTGGTTAATCAGCAAGTCTTTGAGTACTAAATATAAACTTTGAAGAAGCTATTTACGGACACACTTTGGCCTCAGTGACCGAGCTGATGCTTGAGCAAGTATTAGTGGCGCAGAAGAAGTGATCCACGACCAAGTTAGTGAATGTGCAGTAAGGGACTAGACGTGTCCCTCTTCCAAACTGCAACAAGTACCTTAAGTACCCATTTAGCATTTTTTGCCCCTGATGGCTGTTGAATTGCGCGGAGGAAAGTGAGTTCCTCCCTTGCTCTGCACCGCTTCCGCGATGGCTCAGAAGTCGCGATTAAATGAGTCTACATGAAGGGTATGTACGCCTTTTTTTAAAAAAAGGATTGTTTAGACCTGAAACAATGCCCTGCCTTAGCTTCAGTTGCTGGCACGCAGCAAAATCATTGCTTGAATTAGTCATCCAACTGAAGGAAATGTCGCTCAGTCCCATTGAATGGCATAAAATAGACTTATGAACGCTTTTTTGGAAGCTAGCAAAGCTTACCCATAAAGCAAGGTAGAGCGCCTTTGTGCATCCGGCTATCTATCACAAACTAGGTACCTAGGAGACCCAGACCGCGTATATAACCAACAAAGTCATTCACAACTGCCTCAAGGATAATGTTTACGTTAGGTAGTGAGTTCCATCAACTTACGAAAATCAAAATTCACAAAGTGGTACTCATTGTCCAGAACCTTTGGCTTTTTAAGGCATCAAATTCAATTACCACGTTAAGTCCAATTTTACCACCACTCTGCTCCCCAGGTCAACGTCATTGGCCTTCGCTTCCTTCCAACTGCCGGAAGAGTTGGACTGAAACATTTTTAGAATGCCGGCAGGGGACGTTTGAGCGTGGTGTTTGAGAAACCGTCACTTGTGGGAATAAGATGCTGTTCTTTTCGTCTCAGTAGTTTTACACTTAACAGGATGATTTTGCTTCACGAATTTAATATAACTAAGTTAAATGACAATTCTGCAAAGTCTATGCGTACTCAGAACTTAGTAAGTGTGTTGATAATTTTAGCTTATTTGAGGCCAATCTCCGAACCAGACCTCAATTTCTGCAATAAACCATATTTGTTGGAGGAAAGGCAAAAGCTGCGTTTAAATGTTAAACATAATTGAATTTCATTTTGTTTCACACTGCGAGGTCATCAGTGATTTTCGCTGAAGCTTGTATTTACGACGATCAATTGCAACCGTTACCATTTGTCATTCATGAGTGCAGCAAGTGGAAGTAAGTAAAGGTGGGTTGTCAAAGATCAAATGCATTGTTTATGCACCGTGGTGCACTGAGACGCTACAGTGGATCTTCTGTAGGTCGGACCATTATGTTAGCTCGGCAAGACCAGGTGGTACCTCGTCGGTGGGTCTTGATTCGCATATGCATCAGCAGAACTCCACCCTTCCTGTGCAGCCACTGGACAGAGCTGAGCTCTCAAAAGGCATTCGCCCTTAGTCCCATGTACAACGCCCCACTTGGGATAGCACTGACGATGACTGAAATTAGAGCCACTATTTTCGAAAGCATCTATAATGTGTTCATTTAGTGTGAAACGTTCTTCCAATTTTGAGTCAAAGTCACTGTCACCCTACTTATTCCGATAAGGCCACCAAGACGACTTCACTATACTCTCCTTTAAAGCGTCCCGTCCGTAGTGGCGCAGGTGAATGTTGCTCCTTGATGCCTTGGACTTGATTAATAGTGCCTCGTTGAATGTTGGTATTTACCACACCAAAATGTCATCACTTTAACTGAAGGCGTCCTCATAGGTGAAGTTTGCCTTATGCTTTTTACCTCCTACACAAAATGTTACTTATGGACCATGATGCTTTTTGTGCCCTCAACTATCTTTCACTAAATCTTCACAAATTTATAACATTTATGCAGTTACCATGTTCTGTGACATTGCAGTTGCTGCGATTTTATAGGAGTCATGGCTTTAGTGCCACCTCTTAAGGCTGTAAAATGGGTCATGAGTCTGGGTTTAGTTAAATTCTCGAACACCGCATAGCCGGTCACTTACACCAGCCTCGCTATTCAGCTGAGGTGATCGATTTTTCGAGAAGAGGAAAATGCTGAATCTTTATAAACTTTTTCAAATACTCAAAACCGAAAGAAGGAAACCCGGTGAAGCATTGCACATGAAAGGTGCACGAGCAAAGAACACCTCAATGCAGGGATGGCTTTCGGTTTCAACCTGAGTTCCCCTCTAAAACTAAAGATTGTGACTTGTGGTTCCGCTTCGATGATGGTCTGAGTCGGCAATTAGGTTAAGTCACTCAGCACAACCAAAAACGCAGTTTATTCATGAGCCGAATGCCTTCTGATATAAAGAAACCTAAGGACTGCAGTAAGAGACCTTGTGCGAATCTCAAAAGCCAAGGTCTTGACAAGAGAAACTAAACGTCATAAAATTTTATAGTCCCAAAACAAATTGTGAACGCTTGACTTAAATGGATGCGACATATTAGCAAATGAAAGTTTCGAAGTGCAAAAGTACGAAACAAACGGAAGGATTTTGTGCATATTAGTCTAAAAAATACCATTGAAATACCTTCGTAGGTACCACTTGGATGAACATAAGAAATACGGCACACGAGGAGTGATACAAATTGTGTACACCTTCTCTCCACCGATTCACCAAGAGAAAAGACATTCACCACCCGTCTTGCTGAACTTAGAGAAGAAATGGGCCTCATAGATGTGGAACAAGTTATTGTTTATATGGTCTAACTCATTGCAGTTGAGCCCAAGACAAACCCCAAAACGCAATAAAATAGTGGTAAAAATCATACAACATTTAATCACCAGAGGAAAATTATTTTTTACAATTCCACACAAGTATGGTGTGAACTACAGTAGGTATCGTTTGTACCATTAAAAGATGTTGCCGGAAAGGTGGAGCGCGTAAAATACCTTCTCTACGGCCAGAATGTAGGCAGCAGTACGAAAATCTAGGCCTAGATTATAGCGCTCAGCAACTTCCATTATCTGGTTCGCTGCGCGTTCCATTGTATATTCGAGGCCAGAATTGACGATGTCCAATTCTGAGGCGTTATCCATGCGACTAGACAGCTCCTTGGACGGTTTCACTGACTTTCCAAGGTCTGTTTCAATGTTGCCTGAATGGAAATTTTAAAATTGGTGTAACAAAATCTACTACAAAAGGCTGATACAAATAAGTAACACTTACGAAGAAGACACATGGCATTCTCCTTCTCGTATTTGAAATTAAGACGACCAAAGCTAACGTGGTTCAAATTCTTTAGCCATTCAAAGTATGAAACGGTAACTCCTCCACTATTCAAGTAGAGATCAGGAATGACCATAATATTGCGATTCAGAAGCTGCTTGTGGGCGTAGAAAGTGGTGGGACCATTAGCTCCCTCAGCAATCACTTTTGCTTTAATCATGTCCACATTCTCAGCGGTGATTTGTTTCTGCAGAGCCGCACAGATGAGAACATCGCACTCATTGCACATCAGCTCCTTCCGATCAACCTCCTTGGCATTGGGAAATCCTTTTAAGCCACCATGAGCCTGAGAAAAAAAATAGTTTTAATGTGAAAAAATTCGAGTAGCTTAGAATATAGAGAAGAAATGGTACATTTCTATATTCGATAAGCTCTTTGAAGTCTATCCCACTGGAATCATAGAGAGCCGTATCAATTTCAATCACACCAATGATCTTGGCGCCTTCTTCTTGAAGGAATCGAAAAGAATACGACCCAACATTACCGAAACCCTGAATAATTATTGTTTTGCCAGCGACGCCTGGCTTATCGAGACCGCAAGCCTTGCAGTTCTTCGCCGAGTTAAGAAAGTTTCTTATACCAAAAGAAAGACCCTAAATTCAGATGGAAAGCAGTAAGTATTTATATCACTTATTAACAAAGCAAGGTGAATTAAGTAGGACACGAAACTCACAAGTCCAGTTGCAGCAGTACGACCTTCCACACCGCCATACTGCACAGGCTTTCCAGTGACACAACCCAAAGCATTAATGTCGCCAAGTCCAATGGTATTGGCATAGGTGTCGGCGATCCACGCCATCTCTTTTTCACCCGTGCCTACATCAGGAGCAGGTACATCAGAAGTAGGACCCATAAAGTTCTTCTTTGCCAACTCGAGTGCAAATCGGCGGCAGATCCTTTCTAGTTCGCCCAATGAATACTTTGAAGGATCGATCTTTACACCAGCCTTAGCACCACCATAAGGCACATCGACAACACTGCACTTATAGGTCATCAGACTTGCCAGAGCCTTGACCTCATTCATATTGACGTCCGATGCAAAGCGAATGCCTCCCTTACATGGTGTAACGTGATGAGAGTGCTGCGCACGCCATCCCTGAATGATCTCGAATTCACCATTGTCCAATTTAATGGGAAAGTTAAACTCCAAAACATTATCACATTGTTCCATAGCCATCATGATGCCCTTGATGTAGTGCTCCTTCTCGGTTGTCGAACCTTTGAAGGGTAATTCAGTTAATAGCTTCTTTTGAACATGAGGAACAGCCTCTTTCGCAAACATTTTGACCATCTCCTGAAATGAGGGCTCTTCAATCTTGTTTGGTGCCATTTCTAGAGAGCTAATGGTAAGTGTTGTGTTCTTAGTATGCCAAAAGGCCTCCGCATTTCGAACGCAATTTATACTCCGTCCCCGTGCTCTTTGAAAATATTCAAGGTTAGGGTTCATGTTTTCAGTTAGATTAAACACATTGCCTGCACATAAATCTAAATATCTAAAGCTTTAGCCAATTTGTTAAATAAAAGAAATCGCAAAATATTTTAAGTTTTAGAATAAAATTTATGGTGCGTGTAACGCTTTTTTTCCGGTTTACATTAGTTGTGGTGTTACTGCATTTCGTAATGCCTCTGATCGGAAAATAGTTGACAGCTGATGGTATGAATTCCCTTTTCTTTGGACCAACGTTTTTAATGGCTTCAGAGTCAGGCATTACAACCAACTTTATGTCACTGGAAAATTCCTGCGGTTAAACTGTCACAACTAAGTACGTATGTATAGTATCTGGTTTGTGTAGCCATCTGGTGTCTGGCGGTTTCTATTACCTAATGGAGAATATCAGAATGCAACAGTGATCCTCTAGTAAATCAGAAACGACGGGCTCTTTACCATCACTTAGGTCTAGGTCTGGGCGTTGGAACAAGCACCTAAAGACAAGTACATAAATTAACATTTTTTGAGTGGATATAGAATTAGTGCACTGCCACCGCCGAAGCCCATCCGCTGTTGCAGTAACAAAAACTCCGACGCGAAACTGTTTTAAATGGTCAATTGAAGTTTTGAATCAACGTAGCCTGACTTTGGTAATGAAGATGAGGTAGAGACCAAACATGGACAATTTTTCCACCCCTTTCATTAAAAAAACCATAAATCATTTTGGCCTAAGTTTGTGCATTTTACTCACAATGCTGAAGTTTGTTGCAAACTGTTGAAACCAAAGTAGACTCGGTAGCAAAGCTGGAACTACTTTAGAGTTTGCCTGGCCCTAGTACACGCAAGCTAGCCTTCGAGCCATGCTCAGGTTAATTTGCTCTGTTCGCTTCGGAATACACGTATCCAGCCTCACTCACTGCCTTCTCCCACCCTATGAGAAGTCTCGGGGCGCTACAGCCTTTTTCTTCGTTTAATGTTCTGAGACTTATAATTCAGTGGTAGAATGCATACAACACGGTTGAATACTTCTTTTTAAGGAAAAAGAGGAAGAGTATGGGCTTTGGCTTGGTGCCAACACCAGTTAATCCGAAAGGTGCAAGGGGACCGCCAAAGCGATCATTTTTCCTTCAGATGGTCGAATAAGCAGTGTTACAGTATGAAAATTAATATTGATAGATTCTACCTTTCCTACCTTTGTATTGTGAGTAAGACAGCGGCTGGTTTTGCCTTGTGTTCTGAGAACTGAACTTATTTTAAAATTTACAGCAGAGTCTCAACTAGCATATTTATTATTTGCGATTATAAGAAACACATTCTTATCTCATTTTTGTACTTTAAGCTAAGGCTTTCCATTTGGCATTTAAAGGGATAAAATTCACCTCTGTGGTTACTGCCTGTCTACCCTCTGGTCCCTGGTTCTCAGACATTAAGAGGAAGTTGGTTGTAGACGATTTATTAGGCATCGCTGTAGGCAGGATGGGGAATAAGATACAGGTGCGGTGAGTAGGAGATATCAATCGCAGGGAGGCTCCTTGCCGACCTCACGCACGTAATCCACGTTCCCAAATTGCTTTTTGCCTCTCATCTATAAAAGTCCACTTAAACAAGCTAGAATATATTACAACCTCTCCTCTGAAAGGGCAGATTAAACACACCTCGTCTCATCTTGATAGGGTGACTTCCATGTCACTTCAAAACCCCCGCATCTTCCACTTTCCTCTGATACCGTTACTAGTATTTACGCCTTCCATGATCGAATGGGAAGCCCTGGTGCGTTACATGTGGTCATGCAATGATACTGCCGCTGTTAGGCAGGGCATATTTATTCGGAGTAAAGAAGGTTTTACAATTCTTCCACTGTAATACTTTGCTTACTCGACTAGCGTAAAATTTGGTATTCTTCTTGCTCTTAGCTTCATGAGCTGGCCTGCACGCCTAGCTGAGGCCCACTCTCTTCCTTGTCCCTTTGCGTACAATTGTTTAGTTCTATCCAGTGTCAACAACTACTTTGTCACGTTATACCCAAGACTTAAAGACCACCCCACTTATGAAATGAACAAAACTAGTCATATTTCACAAACCAAGACAGACGAGATACAGATGAAACCAATGGTCCATGTCATTATAACCAAGAAAGGGGCTCAAGTGCATCGCTTAACTTGCAGAGTAGTTTGGTAGACTCGGCTCTCACACTAAAACTTGTAACCCCAACTGAGGGAGTAGTTGTTTGGACGATGGCAAAACCTCCTGTTGATCAAATTGTAATATAGATAACAAGAGGTCATAAGCAGAGTACTGTTATTTCGAATGAAATAAGGCTGTAAGCTTTCGTTTAAACCTTAGCACTTTGTGTGGATGTATTTAAATTTGACAGAGTAATGAGAGCTAAAACAGACTAGTTGCTTATGTGTTGTATTCACCTACTATATACATGGTTAGTTGGAATTGTTTAAGGGGATGCACACTGTTAATGCTATTGTTGAATAAGCTACATTGCGATGGCATCATAATCAACTTACAAAGAAAAAACCGAGCAGCAAACTATAAATTGCGGAGAATTTAATAATTCTAGATGATGTGCGGAGCTGTAGAGAGCCATGATTGCAGAAGATGTTAGTTACATTTTGTGTGATTTTAAAGCTCTATGGTTTGCGCGCCCATCCTTCTGTACCGTCTTCCGGGATCATTGTGCAACCATAGGTGCAGGTACAAAGTATTGAAGTTATATGAGAGCACAGAATAGAAGTTGACTCAAAGCGGCAAAGCAGTAGGTTCGCATGTTTGAACTAAGCAATCGTTTGTGCTACTGAAGCTTCTAGAGAAACTACCTACTAAGTAGCAGAAGGCCTAACACCTAAGTGAATGCATAATGAAACACCAAAAATGCTTGGTGACAAAACGCTCTTTTATAGTGTGCACAAAAAATACAAAAAAAACCCGAAAACTAAACTTTCTCTGCTTCTCTGCTTTAAGGGTCGAATTTTGGTATATGAGGCATTGCTGCAATCAGGACAAACAAGCTGAGTTAATAACCCAACTTGAGGGTCAAGATACCTACGATTAGACACGGCTGCGTGTGGTAAGTCAGCGCATAACCCTGACCGCGAGTCCAGTTTGCACATCGAGCAGCGCTTCAGGCTAGAATAAATGTCCAAAATTGTGAAATACGTTGAGATAAAGCACTGCCTCAGTTACACGGAGTATCGTTGACTAATGCAGTGGAGTAAAATAGTTGCTTCCTGACTCCACAGACTTAATACACCAGTAAGGATTCACGGTTAGACTCGTTTTGCAGAATTAATACTTCTTTAGAGATAAGGAACTGAAAAAATTGTAACTATGCCATAGTCCCGGATCTGTTAATCAAATCCATGAGGAACTACTTGTTAAGTAGATTTTAAAGGTACAAAAGGATGTTTTTGCATACAAGGAGGGTCTTGGTTGGTTGAACGTCTTCAGTAGCGCGTAGGATCGAAGGTGCACAAGAAAGCTGTAATGCTTTGTTTGTGTTACCACATGACGTTAGGCGGCCACTTTAGGATTTGTCTGGTCCCTGTACACGCGGGCTGACCTTCGAGCCATGTCCAGAACCATTTGTCCTATCGTCTTCAGAATACATGTATCCAGCTTCGCTTACTGACTTCTTATACCTGCTGGGAAGTCTCGGGACGCTGGAAAGGCTTTTAACTCTTAATAACGATGGTGTTCGTAGCGTCCCGAGGCTTCCAACGGGGTAGTAGAAGACATGAGTGAGGTTGAATACATGTATTCCGAAAACAATAGGAGAAATGGGGCCTGAGCGTGGCCCGAAGGCCACCCCACGTGTACAGGGCCCAGACAAGTTCTAAAGTGACCGCCAAACGTCAGATAGTCACGTAAACAAAGCATTACAGTGTTTCATATACTTCACCGACATTTGGCAGGCTTTAAATGACGTCTCAAAGCTCTAAAAAATAGAAATAACCATGTAGCGCATTATTTATGAAATCATATGACGTCTGGTAGTTGCTCTGGTATTTGTCTGGCCTTGTACTAATGAGCTAGCCTTCAGGTCATGCTCAGGCTCGTTTGTCTTGCCCTCTTTGGAATGAATGTATCTGGATCCACTTACTGCTTTCTTCCATCTGGTAGGAAGTATCGGGACGCTGCAAACCGTATATAGGGATGTCATGAGAGAAAGGAGGTACTGAAGTACATTTATCAAACATTTATTAGGCAAACAAAACAACTGTTTGCAAGTTAATAAGGCAACTGAGCAGCTTAATTTCCAAAATGTCAGCAGTTTGGATGATGGCCAATACTCATAGTAAAATGCCTACACAATATCGGTTTTTGTAAAATTTTTCTTCGATATTTGATTCTACAACAGATTATATGCTTAGAGTTAGTGTTATAATTTTAACGTTTGCTTCACTGAAAGCGTTAAAAACACTTTGTAGCACCGCCGCGGCATTTTTGAGTGCAGGAGTTGAGGCGTTCGGTCGGATTCAGGTTCCTTCGCTGGGCTCTGAAGATTCATCAAGGAGTATATCTTAAGTTTCACGAATGAGACTCTAGTGGAAACAATATATATGCCAAATGGAAAAGTCTAAGCCCGTAAGTGTTGTTGCCACCCGCTTCATGTGTTTATGAACACCAATGCATTGTAGGAGACATGTCTCTAGACTTGCGTGTGGTGGGTAGGGCTTTCATTTGCATTACATAAGGCGAGAAAATTCTACTGAGTACAAAGAAGTGAATTTATCTGCAGGACCATTGATGGCTTTAGCTGGCGTCTATAGTTTGTGAAGGCGTACGAAGATACATATGTTTGCATACATTACTGCCATAGTTTTTGTATCGTCATTGGTTTGTCAAGTTCCTTCTTCATGCATTTCATGCACATGTGAACTATTTTTAGCATATTGTACTGTGTGAGTACGTTGGTAGGGTGAAATTTTAATTATTGTGGTACTACGATCCCCTACAGTTGGATTTGTCGCGGATGTCGCACTTGGAGCTCAAAGACAGTGGTAATCGCTTCTTTGCCACCTCCGACTACGCACGAGCTATTGAGTGCTACACTCTTGCCATTAAGAAAAACAGCTCTATCTCCACATATTATTCGAACCGAGCACTTTGCTATCTGCAGCTGAAGTTCTATGATCGGGCTCTTGCTGATTGTCGGTAAGTTATTTGCCCTTCTATATATTTTTCGCTTGTTTCCTTGTTCACTCTCGTGTTTACCTTCAAGCGACCACTCGTATCTTGGACACTAACTTTTATTCCCCAACACTCCCCGTCATTACTCGAAGTTTTTCGTATAAGCCTAGTTTTAATTATCTGGTTGGTTTTTGACATTATTCTTTTGATATTAAAAACTAAGTCCGGTGTTTTCATGATTTTGGCAGACGAGCTCTTGAGCTGGACCCAAGCAATTTGAAGGCTTTCTTTTTCGCGGGCCTGTGTCACTTGGCACTAGGTCATTATGACGAGGCTGTGGCTAAACTTACTACTGCGCACTCGCTGGCTTTGGAGACACACAAAAACTTTGGGGATGATATTGCCGCCTCCATTCGTCTGGCCAAGCGAAAACGTTTTGAGCAGCTGGACGAAAAACGCCGCCAAGAGGAGATAGAGTTTCAGGCTAGTTGTCTATTTATAGAATTTTGAAGACGGCATATTAATTAGAAGGACGCTTTATTTACAAGCCTTGAGCAGGTCAGATAAACTAGGCCGGCGGCTCAGGTGACGTGTGCACGTCTGTCGCCTGAGTGAAGATTGAATTTTGAGAAAGATTTAAAGTGCTCTTGGTGACATGCAATGCAACAATGTGCCCTTCATATTGTTTTCATACTAAATCACTAGAAGTGCCCGCTAACACACGTGAAACCTGTTCTGCATAGGTTTACCTTAGCAAGTTAATAATTGAGGATGGTGAGCGTCGACTCAAGGCCCTGCAAGAAACCAGTGCAAAGGAGGATGACGAGGATGCTGTGAAGTCGCAGAAGAAAGTAATGGATGACATAGAATCCATTTTTCCTGAATCCGGAAAAGATATTCCGAACTGTGATAGGAACAGTGCTAGCGTGGATGTCCAAGTCTCTATTCGGCGTCCACCCCAAACTGCTAGCCAAATAGAAGCCGAAACGGCGACTAGGCTGCGTGATTTGGATGCCATTTTCGCACAGGTTAGTGTTTACGCATGTGGCTGTGTTCTATCTTTGGACCCTGGCTTTTCCATCTAGCCTCTCCTTCTTCCTAATATTACATTCCTAGGTCGATGAGAGGCGAATGAAGCGAGAGTTACCTGATTATCTCTGTGGTCAGATAAGCTTTGAGCTGATGCAGGATCCTGTGATAACCCCTAGTGGTATCACTTATGATCGGCAATCAATACAGGCGCATCTGAGGCAGGTTGGGCACTTTGATCCAATTACGCGGCAACCCCTGACGCAAGACCAGCTCATTCCCAACTTAGCGATGAAGGAGGTTGTCTCCAAGTTCCTCGAGGAGAATCCATGGGCTGATGGCTTTTAAGCACATCGCTCCTATTCCTCATTCCGCCCGGCCGCCATTCTACTTTCGTTACTGCGTGCAAATTTGTACAGTGAATTATATATTGTTCTTATCTTCTCCCTACCAGTTGTTAAATACCACAACACGTTCAACTTTGTGATCTTTTGGTTTGCTTGTGTGCTCGCTTGGCTGCTCATTCTTTGTACCAATTTCTGAACCGTTAGGCATTGTCATTTGTGATACATAACCACTATCAGAAATTTCAATGAACTCATGACGATTAGTTCGCATTTCTTTAGATGGTAGATTGCAGTGAGAGCATGCAAAGTCCATTTATTCGAAATGCCGTAGCATTGGTTTTGATTTCAAGGGTCATTGGCACTCTACCGTTTTTTTAGTGTTCTGCAATGCATGCTAATTCTGGTTGCAAGCATTAAATGAGTGTTTAATTCACTTTTCTCAGTAATGAACCACTCCTCGAGAAGTCGCTCACGATCTCCAATTCCCCAATCCTGGTATTCAGTTGCCACATCGTCATCTGATTCCTCACCACACTTACGTTCTGCCGTGGTGGAAGGAGAATTTCCATCCACTGTTCGAACACGATCCGGTCGACGAAGGTATCAAGAGATGCTTGAAGGCACTGCAACGAGGACCAGTCGTGCGAAGAGTGTATGCTATTTTTCCCCTGTATACATGCGGTCCCTCGTTTAGCAGCTTACCTAACTTTTTCTAGACCCTTACACAACGCCTGCGCCGTAGTCCTCGCTCCCTTGTCCCGGTTGCGGCTTCAAATGCCATGGATAGGGGTGTAGGTGGTAGTTCCTCTACTTTGTCTTTCAATGCCAAAGGACCGGATGATTTTGTCAATCCAAGGTCTGAAACTAAGTTGTTGAGAGATGGAATCTTCAATGGCACTGATGCTACTGCTGCCCTAACCAAAGATTCAAACGGTGACGATGACTGTGCCATTTGTAGAGACCGAAAGGTCAATCAGTCCTACCTCCTGCCTTGCATGCATACATACTGTTTTCAGTGCATTCTCCAATGGGTACGAATAAATCCCACTTGTCCTCTGTGCAAGGCTCTCGTGTGGAAAATTATCCATTCCATCAATTCTGACAGTAACTTCAAAGAGTATGATATACGTTCATCGCCTCGCAATGTTATCAACCTAATGACCCCAATAGTTAATCTCCTTAATACTGATCTACATCAATCTCCGATTGCTGTTTCAAATACTCCAGACACGTAAGTTATCTTTTTTGGCAGGTAACAAGATTATTTACACTTCACCCCTATCAATGCCCTTTTTTGCTATTATATAAGGATTTTCCATCCAGAACCCCGTTCAACACTTCTAATGACTCTTGTTTTACGTGCTCTACGCACCCCAACGATGAGTCCGAATTTACTGCGACGCCTAGTCTACGTCAACAGGTTTTATACCTATCCTACTCCTTTGCCCGCCCACTCCAACACCGTGGACACCCTTCCTTGCCTTTCCCGATGCACAAGTCGCTCCTTTCTCGCGGACAATGAGGCTCTACGAACGCGTCTCATTGATTTTACCCAAAGGGAACTATTCTACCTTGCACCCTGGGTGGACTACATGCAGACGAGTCGTGACGCTGTGGCGATTCAACCACTGGGTGCGGGAAACTCGAGCCCTTCGGAGGCACTAGGTCGGTTGTCGATGGGTATTGTGTGCCGAATTGCCTCCCACCTTGTGCCGCTGGCCCGGGTGGATGATTTCGCCGATGCCATCAGAAGGATAGACGATCGTGATCAGGGTGGAGATGGACTCCTAGATTCAGTCTCCACCAATGCCTTAAAACATTTTAGTTGGGAGCTTCTCCAATTCGCTAAGTTTTCTGGTACTCTGCAGGAATACTACTCCCAATCCTGTCTCTACGCGAATCACTTCACTGGAGGTATTTGCAAATATGAACAGCAATAACCATACCGATTATACTAAAACTGTTTTATTGTTTAGGACACATGAGACTGGATTATAGTCCACCAATGCACACTGTTGTTTACATAACTCCAAGACCTGGTGATGTGGCTGCTAGCGGTTTTGCAAGTTCCTTCGATGGAGTATCAAAGGAAACAGCACAGTGGTTATATCGTCACCTCTTCAATGCACCAAGATCTCCCTTTATGTCACTTACCTCTCATCCAGATAGCAATGTTATTCGGATGGCCTGCCGGACCCTTCAATGTCCGGCTTCTTATAACCCCAGTAGGCTCGTCAACTCGAACGACTCCGCCTACCACCTCCGGCGTCAAGGAATACGCGGTCTCCTATCGCGTATGACCGAGCAGATCTGGTCTGACGAGGTAGCACAAATGGCGCTCTGTGAGCTGATCGATCAAGCGCGCATAGGATCTGTCATGGAGAGGCTCACACATCATGGGAGACAGCTAGTTTTGCATCGCATCGCCAATCTCATCGCTTTCTTCTCGCAGCCTACTTATGCTGTCCGCCCAAACATCCCTCTTCCATTAGTAGAGCCCAGAGATCATGGTGAGGTTTCTCAGCCTCCTGTACGACTTTCCAGACCCACAACGTCTCCTCAAGAGGCAAGTGCTGTAACGATCGCGCTGGGAGAAGACAACTCCGACACGGAGGGGGGTAGTGACGAAGCTATTGTTGTTTCTGATAGTGAGGAGTCGACACAACAGTCCTCAAGTGGTTGTTCTTCTATTCCTCGATGCTGCGTAGAGCACAGAAAACATTGTTGCTGTTGCTATCGACGCAGATCGGCAGAACATATGAAGCCTACCGAATTTGCGCACATGTTCAAGGCATTTGTAGAGTTTTACGAGGAGCGACGCAGGAGACGGAGACTCCGTCCGCAGATGCTGAATAGACCCTCTTCACCCATTGTAATCTCAGACGATGATGAAGAAGAGGATGAGCCGGAACCCCAGCCAGGTCCATCCAGACCTCGGAAGGAGTCGCCGCAGGAAACTTCTCCACGGCAACTCATAAAAGTGGCGGAAGATAACCTCATAAGAGATTCAGAGGAACTTCCTTCAGTTATCATTCGTCCGACCACGGCCAATGAATTCTACTCCTTGTTGAATGAGGCAATGGACTGCGACAAGGATGAGATTCCAAACACCTCAGTGTCCAATGCATCATGCTCCCAACCCACAGTCAAACAGGAGGAAGAACCCCAAAGACCTTCTAGACCCACCTCTGCCCCCTCATAATCATGGAGTTAAAACGGAGTTTGGTAACCGTGGTCTGTGCTGTGCAAAGTTTCGGTGATCGAATATATAAGCTCTTTTACCGTGCATTTAAATACATGCATGTTCGTATCAAAAGCAGTAAATGTTTACCAACAAGAGAACCTCAGATATATTACTTCTCAGTAACTCTGAAATGGTTGTCATCCACGGTCGAATAGACATGTCCTTCAGCGCTGAGAAAATCCAGATCGTCTCTGTAGAAGAAAAGGGGTTTAAAGAGAGTAACAGATTACTTCTATGGACTTACCGAATTTGTTTCTCAGGGACACCCCTCAATTTTTCACAAATCTGTGATACCGTGGCCCCATTATCGTCCAACGCAGCTCGCACACAAGACAAAACTTGGGATTGTAGTGCAGTCAACCCGCGAATGTTAGTTGTCGAGTTTGTGATGGAGTCTTTTGGGACAGTATCTTCTTTAGTCTGGCTGCTTGCTACTTTGGCATGTAGCATCCGAACGTAAATAGTTTCCAAAATGTGACACGTTATTTCATTCATGTCTGTCACGGGAAAGGCCTTAAGTAATGAAAAAAAGGGGTATAAAGTCCCAGATCTGGGGACGTGCAGGACGAGAAGGTACGCTATAGATGCTTAAGACGATTTACCTTGAACGCAACAACGTTGATATCGCCCTGGAAGCTACGTACATGACCATAGACACGAATATAAGTAAGCTCCCTAAGCGTACGGCAGCCGCCTGACTCTGCAGAGGATTCCTGCAATTGGGCATCAAAGAAATAACAAATCTTGCATCATCATCAATAAACTGTTTGACTAAAACAGAGGGTCCAGTGTAGTCATCAACTTCGTAATCGATACGAGTCGCGGATTCGTTAACAGACCGAATCAGACCGACCAAGGTGACCTGTAAAATTCCATGTAATGGGAATGTAAATCTTACTTGTGAAAAAAGCACACCTGTAGGGGACACGAATTTGTCACCATCCTGAGTGGCGGCGACGATCTCTGCACAGGTGCATGGCATCACACCTCTACCTTGCAAAGCTTTCTAAGTTCCACATTGGCCAGCTTAAGCAAATTTACCTTAGCGTTAGCGGTAGAAGCGTTTTTAAAAAAACCCCCACCTGCATCGGAGCTCCCTCCAAAACTGCTAAAATCTATTTAAAATAAGATAAAACATCACCCATACCCAATGAAGACCACATCGAGTGAGAGACACGACTAATCTGGAAGACACGCACGTTGACCAATAAAAAGATAAACGACCCGTTATCTAGCTGCTCATTTGTCCAGACAAAGGGACCGCGATAGCTTGTTTAGGTGTGCAACTCTCCGAAGAAACAGTTATCTTAAATAGGAATGATGAGTTGTATTATTACTTTGAAAATCAATTTTAAGTGACCAAATTGAATGTTATGGAAGAATAAAAGGGCTGCGAAATTGTCAAGTTAGGACAATAGTCGGCATTTGTCAAACAGACAAATAGGAAATTAAGTAAGACGATTGCATAAACAAACAAAAATCGTGTGTAGGAACGCAGAATTCTCGTATTGTTTGCCCTGACGGCCCTCGTGCCTCAACTGGGTGTGTTGGTCCTGAATCCCTGCTAAAGGCAACCACTCCCTGTCTAAATGGGAATTTCCAGCTAGATCGTGCCCGTTCTTGGTGTATGAACTATCCGCCTACCCACATGCCCTTGAACCACGGATTTCAATAGAGGCTTCGTTGCAGTAGATTTATTAGGCATTGTACACAGGAAGAACGGGGATAGGAGTGTAGAATAGCAGATATCATCCGGAGAGGGACCCTTCACAGTCCTCACGCACGGGATTTGTGTTCCAAATTTTGGTTCCCGCCTCCCTCCTACCAAGGTCAACATAAACACTAGTATACACTACACTTGGTTTTTCTACTTGTAAATTAAAGAAAGTATTAAGATTTTATAGCTAACTTAAAATACGGGGGAAGAATTCAATTACCTGAAATTACCTGTTACGTCACTATACTTTTTTAGTGCGCAACGGTACTTGTGGCGTCCCGAGATCACTTATTCAGTACTGGAAAGCATAAGAATTGACTGAATGGTAGTGGAGGTGCGAGTTTGCAATGCCCAAGGACAAGTTCACTCAACAGAAGAGATGTGATCGCGAAAGTTACTACCATTCGATCGGGAGTCTTACACGCAATGTTTTACATTGCCTACAGTGTGTAAATTCTAAAGCGCTTGCGGTATTTGCCATGTTTATGCTCTTGAAACAAATTCTCAAGTCTACCAATGCGTAAGTTAAAAGACTTCATGTATAAATTATAGTCTCCGCTTTGGCCATTTTAAATGTTTACGGACACCAAATCTGAATTTCTAAAGTATGCGAGGGAGGATGTACGCCAACAACATCTGAAATTTTTCTATCACGCAGAACCATCTCTATTTATTGCTTGGCTCATTTGTAATGCCTGCTACTAAGTAAACTCTTTCCACCCCCTTAAAACACTAGTTATGTGTTTGTAATACACTTTGTGTTTAATTCTCCATTTTAATAAAGGAATCACTTGATTCCTCGCTGCTGTTCCATGAGAAAAATGCACCCAGGTAGTTTGGCAGGGCTGCAATAGCGAAAAAAGTGGAAAGACGTGATAAACACCAGGTACTATCCTCCACAAAAGCACGTCGTGTACTTTCCTCGGGTAAATAAGCCAAATTTTGGGTCAAGGACCCCAAGACTAGCTAAAGCCCCGTGTGTTGGGTCAGCACATAATCCTATCCTCAAGTTCATTTCGTCCATAAGACGACACCTCAGACCTAGCTCAATAACCCAAAAGTATGAACGTAGCTGAGATCAAGTACTGTTAGCCGACCTGGTAGGCTTATGGATACTTTTTCTTAAGTTTGACTACGCTGTCATAGCTGGCGGGGGGACAGACCAAGGGGAGCTCTGAGGACGACGTTGAAACAAGGGAGGATAGTGTACTGCTTAACGCTCTTTTAATTCTCGTTTTTTTTTTAAGCAAATGCTGCGTCTTTTTAGTCGCTGTGTCGCTAGTAGATAGACTTGCCCGCAATTCATTGCAGTAGACAAGCTCTACTAAATTCTGAGTGCAGCCGTTGCGTTGGGGCATTATGCCACACATGCATAGAACTTTCACATCTTCAGAATTTATAAAAATGCATTTTTTGTAAAATCGTACAAAGACTTCATGATTTTTGCTTGCTCCATTGCACTTTATTCCTTTGGAATTAGACTGACAGTTAGCCTTTCTTCTGGAAAGGATCCTCTCAGGAGGTATGTGACTTCCTCCTCCCCCACTTGACCGTAAAACAGCAAACCTAAAAATAAAATGGCCCGATCTTGGTACAAAATAGTTATGCCCTATCAAAAACAATATCTACACATTTCGACTTTTCAGTGTCAAGACGTACTTGTTTCGTTACTTGCTTGTCGTTTTGTGGGTCAAGGCTAGTGCATCTGGACATGTTTCACTGTTTGAGTGCAATATTGTTGAGTTAGTACATTACTAATCTATTTGTTGAGCGAAGATCACTTCTATGAGGGGGACGATTCTGTTGGAATTGGCACTTTTTTGGGGTGAAGATGCAATAAAAGTTAGTTGTTAGTGTAGAAAGGTATGGGTTGACTGAATGGGGAGTAGTGCATTCTTCAAGGCCCAAAATGAACCTACGCTGAACCCTCTTGTGGCAGACAGTGTTCGGAGGGCAGACTCCGCTGGTTGGTGTTTGCATCACTCTGTCAACTCGAGTCTCCCCTGTCCAGAGGCGGGGTATTAGAACCTAAGTGCATAACATTCGTTCAGTTAATAGCATTCTGGTTCGGAGTTTTAAAAAAAAGCCGTAATTGAAAACGAAAACTTAACTGCCTGTCAAAAGTTATGCAGTGTTGGCTTTTTTAGAGCAACCTTGCCATAGAACATGGTGGTAGCGCACACCGTTGCTGTGTTTGGGGTGTAACAGATACGTTGCATTGCAAAGTGGATCTCATTTTACAGCAGTGACCCACTGCCCTCCAAGGTTCTTTAGTTCTAAACACATACATCTTACCAGCGAAGCTCTTTGCCACATAGCCTATAGTCTTCCTATTCGTAAGTCTAAAAGTGGCTTTGTTCTTGAAACTGGAGGAGAGCCGGAGCTCTAGCAGCATGAGCAATGTGTGTGTGGGCATGTAATTATCCTCTTATCCTCTGGAATAAAAGGATTGGGCTGAGTGCCCTCAATACTAACTTTCCTCCAATCTAGTCTACTTGACCTCTACAAAAAATGCTTGTCTAGTGCAAACTGACTTTGATGTTAAAATCCACATTCATCAGAATCCATATTTCTGATTTGCAACGAAATGACCCTTCTTCAGGTGCTTGCGTCTTTCAGTTTTCACGACTTCTGCTTGGCATCACGCCTACCTCTATTCACATGAACTTTCATTTTCATCTGTAGGCTTACATTGAAATTCACCTATTGCACCTTCAGGAGTGATCCGGGAGTGACAGTGATGCGGGTTCTTTCGCAGTGGCAAGCCAGGAGTGTTGGTAGGAGCCCCTGGATGCTCAGATAGACAAGTTGCTTTTCAATAGCATGAGAAAATGGACGTCATTTTATGTCGCAATGCCAATAATTGTCAGCCATTATAGCACCGTTCTTTGTCCTTCTTCTATTTGTTTGCAGGTATGTCCCACGGACCGCTTAAGCTGTCAATGTGGCCTTTTTACTTGTGCAATGGTCAACCAATCATTTGGGGAACAGAGTTATACATTAAAATTTACCACTTATCTCCAAGCTTAAGCCATACAAATATCTTCATTATCTGTATAAATGTGTCGCCAAACAACTGCTGCTGCTAATCCGGCCCTGTTACAACGGCCTTAAGAGCAATTACGTCACTAAAGGACTGATGAAAGTTCCTGATAAGTTCATTTCTCCCCTTACACAAGAAGAGAAAGGTTAACAATTTGCATGATTGCTGCGATCAGTTTTGAGGAAGTTCACACTACGCCAGAATTTCTGCTCAGCTTCATAACTGAGGAAGAGTACGACTTTCAAAATTCACAATTTAATGACCTCTCTTGGACACGAAGAAGGGGAACAAGTCATATGAATGGGTACAACGTCCTACAGGGGAGATATCATTGTAGCCTAGGGCAAACCAACCACTTGTAAAAGGATTAAGGTCACAGTCAAGACTCACGCCAGAGAAGAAGCAGGAGACAACTATTTGGGGTGAACCCTCGACCTTCCCTCCATCACTCACTCGAATGTAGTGGGGAGAGAGCGCAGAATGCTCTTTACCTGGTTTTGGCACTAGGATGGGATCAAACGAAGTGAAAATGCGGTTGCTTCGAGTAATCATCGAGCTGAGACCCTCTCAGCTACACCACCACCTTGTTTAAAGTTGATTCCATTCGAATCATTAATGTCACCCTAGCATCTTGCAAATTCTGTGTGCCTTTTTTTGAAATAAGCTCCCTAATCCTCATCACTCATTGACGTGGATTCACTTACGCAAATAAGAATGATCCACTGAAACTGGTATGTGTGGCTATGACCTCCAGAGTAGCTTATGAAGAGTGCTGCCAGTAAGCGCATGAATTGGAATGTCGTGCTGCAAATGAGGTACCCAAAAATAGTTGTTAAGGTGTGCATGTGACTAGTCAAGGGAGACTTTTAAGCGGTGCCCTGAGCGACTTCTCTGTAGTCCTTCTTGCATCGAAATGTGCTTACCGCTTTCTCTCTTTCCAAGGACTTCCAATGTGCTTAGGCCCTTTGGATAGCAGTCAAATGTAATGTTTCGTACCCTGAAGCGGCCGAAGGTGCCTGTCATTGCCACCACCTCCGAATCTATGATTTAAGTGTATAACAGTTAGCACTTATGCAACAATGCTTTCCTTTTATTCGCGTGAGACATGTGGCAAGGAGTTTGTCAAATTGAGAGTGAGGCATAATCACAAATGCGTTGAGTTTATTGACGAATGTACGCGGTTTTTGTAAACTCCTGTTGGCGGATTTTATGCCGCTTCGTT